GGAAACTACAGAAATCATCTAGGAAGCTAGATCTCTTTAAACGTGATTTGTATATATTCATAGCAATATACACAACTAGTTAATACCAGCATTTATTTTAATGGGAAGACGAAGGTCAGAAATCTGAGTGAAAATAACTGTCTTCAGAGCAACTTCAGTATTTTGGCAAATATACACGAGATAACGAGTTATATAGTATTTTACTAGAGTATATGATTCCTCACTGAGTGATCACGATTAATATTATAAACTGAGTCTTGTTGAAAACAGGGGAAGACAATGTTTCACACTGCAGACACAACACATGATGCTACGTGGCCAGTCCTCATTCCAAACCTTCTCAACTTCTGAAGGTATTATATGAACATCTAGTTCCAATCCCCTGCTATAGGCAAGGACACCTCCCATTAGGACAGGTTGCTTGCAGCCCATCCAGCCTGGTCTTGAATGCTTTCAGGAGCAGGCATTCACCACCTTGCTGGGCAACCTGTTCCAGTGTCTCACCACCCTCACAGTAAAGAATTTCTTTCTAATATCTAGCCTAAATCTGCCCTCTTTCGGTTTAAAACAATTTCCCCCTGTCCTATCACCACGTGCCCTTCCAAAAAGTCCCTACTCAACTTTCCTGTAGACTCCCCTCGGGTACTGGAAGGCTGTTCTAAGGTCCCTCTTGAGCCTTCTCTTCTCCAGGTTGAAGAGCCCCAGCTTTCTCAGCCTGTCTCCGTAGGGGAGGTGCTGCAGCCCTCTGATCATCTTCATTGCACTCCTCTGGACTTGCTCCAACAGCTCCATGTCCTTCTCATGTCAGGGGCCCAAGAACTGGACGCAGTACTCCAGGCGGGGTCTCACAAGAGCAGAGCACAGGGGCAGAATCACCTCTGTTGACCTGCTGGTCACGCTTCTCTTGATGCAACCCAGGATACGGTTGGCCTTCTGGGCTATGAGCACACACTGACGGCTCATGTCAAGTCTTTCACCAACTGACACCTCCAATCCTTCTTCTCAGGGCTGCTCTCAAGATATTCTCCAGCAATTCTCTATCTGTTTGGGATTACTCCAACCCAGGTGCAGGACCTTGCACTTGGCCTCGCTGAACTTTACAGGGCCTGCCTCCCAAGCCTCTCCAGGTCCTTCTAGATGGCATCCCTTCCCTCTAGTGTATCAGCTGTACCACTCAGGTTACCAAACAGTTAGAGCTTACTTTTGTTCTGCTTTCCTCATTTCTTATCCAGTAGAGCAAAGCACAGTACTGTTCACTTTCTAGTAAAAGAAGAAAACTTTAAGAAAAGAAACACAGCTACAGAAAAATGAAGATCTGGTGAATTCCTAGATCTGGACGGAAGAACATACGCTTAATCAGGTCTCCTCTCCAAACATGAGGAGACTCCTACTTTTTCCTATGACTTATTTTTCTTATTTTTAAATAATTACTGCAGTAAAGTAAGGGTTCTTATGTACTTCAGGTCTCTCTTCCTCAATTCCTTTTTAATTCAGCATGGAGAAATAGGAAAAAATCCTCTTTGGTTCAGCCATAGTCTTCATTTGACAGCTGAGGGAAATTAAAGAACACATGCCCCCAGGTGCCTGAGGCTATTCAATATGCATTCTGACAAAATAAGAATCAATTCCCTCCCCAATTCCCTCCTCCAAGCAACAATGCTTCTCTTTTCTTCCAAAAACAAAAATACAATAAAACCACTTCTTGTTTTCGTTAAAGAGAAAGATATCAAGGTGAGCAATAGAAAGCTGAAGGACTTCAAGCCTCATTTATGTAATTAAAAAAAATATATATATCTATAAAGTAGTCTGGGTGATCTGATCACCCTTTCAGAAAACTAAGAGTATAAATTATGTGTTTGTTTCTCAATTTTTATTTTTTATTTTTTATTTTTTTTAAAGTGGTTTTATTCTTTTTCTTAACTTGCAGAATGGAACATGCCCCACCTTAGAGTTACTAAGATAACTTTTTCAGGTACTGTTAATTACAATATAAACAACTAAAGCTAATTTTATAAGAAAAGTAATACAGTGGTTTACTGAACTGGCCTGAGACTGTGGCCAAGGAGGTCAAATAGAATTGCAAAGTGAAAAGTAATTTTAAAATAAGGCATTTAAGCAAATTTAAGCAACTACTTCTGACTCACTAACTAGGCACAGCAGAAAGAAAATGACTCATGTTAAAATTTAACCTGTAGAAAAATGAATACTTTAAAGAACACACAAATTGCAGAGTTAAATTCTTGCTCTCGCAGTACAAGGGCACAGGCTGATAGATTCATGTAACAACTGATACAGACCACCAACATGCCTGCCAGGAGAAACTGAGCCACTTCAAGTTCTTTGTTCTTGTGACAAGAATATTTTCCACAAGATCACCATACAAAACATTCATAAAGACATGCAAATTCAAGCAAGTTTTTGGGTTTCAAATTCAGTGCACAGATACAACAGCAATTGTCATCCATCTGAACTGCCTTGGCAGGCAGAACACTGAATACTGAATACTTTCTGTATTTAACAATACAACAAAGAAGACTGAATGGCAACCCTCACCAGTATCTACAGAACAAGTACTCACCGATATTCAAATTTCAGAATTTGTTCCATGTAAGATAGAGATGCTAAAATTATTAATGAAACGTCTGTGGAAGTAGAGCAATAGAATTCAAATAAGCCCAAAGATCCTGCAAGCCTATTCCATCTGTACTTTTTCTTACTCTATGTACCAGAACACCCAGTATTCTAAGGGAGAATAAAAGTTCTATGTAGCCTGGCAGTCTTTCTTCTTGAGTGGCCTACAGGATGGAAAAGCATATAAACAGTGATAACCATCTGTTTCACCTTTCTGTAAGCAAAGATATGAATTTCCAGCTCCAGGTATTTAAATACTCATTCTACAGTAATCATTTTTCCTTGGTCTGGTTCAACTCTTCTTGAAAAACCAAGGTAAAACCTATAAGATCTTCTATATCTACACAGAGGACACAGAAAAAATTTCCACAAGCAGAGAAAAATTGTTTGCTTTCAGTTTAAACAAGTGATCCTTTGTTGTTGTTGTTGTTTCTTTAACCAAACAGTACATAAGCACGTCTTATTCACTTTGTGCCACTCGTGGTTTTCTAAACTTTCTACCACATCCCCCCTTCCACGTACCCCTGCAGATACTTGAAACTGACAGGAATGGCTGAATCACCAAAGGCTGCCACCTCAGCAGGCTGGAGAAATGGGCTGACAGGAACCTCACCTACTTCAGCAAGAAGTGTAAAGTCACACATCTGGTGAGAAACAGCCCCAGGCACCAGCACACATTAGGAGCACACAACTGGAAAGCAGCTCTGCAGAGAAAGGCCTGGGGGGTCCCAGGGACACCACACTGAACATGAGTCAGCAACATGCCCAGGCCACAAAGAAGGCAAGTGGTAACCTGAGTTGCACTAGGCAAAGTATTACCAGCAGGTCAAGAGAGGTGAACTTTTCTCTCTACTCAGCATTGGTGAGGTTGCACCTGGATTACCAGGTTTAACTCTGCATCCAGGTCTCTCATGTACTGGGGAGCTCAGTGAAAAGAGTCCAACACAGGATCACCAAGATGCTGAAGGATCTGGAGCACCTCTCTTGTGGTGAGAGAGTGAGAGAGCTGGGAGAAAAAGAGGTTCAGGAGGATCTCACCAATGTCCATAAATATCTCATAACAGGGTACAGAGAAGACAGAGCACAGAGAAGACGGAGCCCAGCTCCGTGCAGTGGTACCCAGTGCCAGGACAAGAGGCAATGTGCACAAACTGAAACACAGGAGGTTGCCTCTGAACATCAGGAAACACTTTTTTTACCAAGACAGCAACCAAGCACTGGCACAGGCTGCCCAGGCAGGTTGCAGAGCTTCCTCCTTGGAGCAACTCAAATGCTGCCTGGACATGGGCCCGGGTTCCCTCTTCTGGGTGTCCCTGATGGAGCAGAGCTTGGGCAGGATGGACCCAGAGGTCCCTTCCAATCTCAACCATTCTGGGACTCTCCTAACCCATGTATAACAAAAAACTGTAAGAACAGTAGTTATAAAAGATGGAGGAATTTGATCCATGCAGTCTCCTGTTTTTTATTTTTCCACAGTCATCAGTTCAACACAGCAGTCCTGATGTGCTCTATCTTTTCCACCAAGGCTCCCTCTATACTGGACGTTACTTCCTAACAAATCCAATTCCATCTTCCCTTATAACCTTTTTTTCCCCCTCTCTAAGCCTAAACACTCTCTTCTTCTTTCTCTTCCCCCACTCATGTGTGGTACAAGTATACTGACAACATGTAGAAAGCTAAAAATCAGTGTCATCTCACAGTAGACGTCAGTTAAATGAATATCTTTTATTACAGGCCATCATTGGAGATCCTTAAAGCAACTAAAGATTATTGGACATCTACAACAGAACCTTTAAATAAACAGTTGGGGGGGGGGGGGGGGGGGGGGGAGGAAAGGGGAAACAGACCAAAACCTGTTCCTTACAGGTCTGCATCCTCCTCTTCATTATAGCTCTTATAAGCCCACAGCAACTCCTCCTAACAACTCTGCCTTTTAGTTCTCTCTCACATTCCCTAACTAGTATGCCTTTCCACTCTCATTCTCTGAACAATAACAATTACTCTTCATGCTCCCTAATTACTGAGTAGGAGCAAGTCAATATTGAGCCAGCTTTCATGTCATGCTTATGCTAAATGGCCTGCTGACAGGCTGTCAGGTGGAAGAAGCCATACAGTTTTGCCTTTTACACAGCAGTAATTTTCACGAAGATTACAGGACTTTCACATTTCAAGATGCATTTTTTACTACTTACAATCACACACCAAGGAAAAATGAATAAACACGCACACAGAGCAACTGCACAATCAAGGCCAAAGTACACCTCTTGGCATCAGCCAAAACCTTGTCTCACATCTCTTTTATTCAAGCTTCTAATCGCAATTCACAGTTTAATGTTAATAAATGTTACACATTTTTGAAGGAAACTCACCGTTTTATTACGAAGTCTAATTATGTCTGAAACAGATCCAGCTCCACAATATTCCATAACAATCCACAGATCAGTGTTCTTAAAATAGCTGCCATAGTACTTGACAACATAGGGGCTAGACAGAAAGGAAAAAAGATAATAATTAAACATATGAATTCTGAATGGAAAAAGAAGGAAAAAAAGCAGCACAAATACTGTTAAAAATTAGTTTGGAAAAGGCAAACAGCCAAAATGCAACTGTGATCAAATACATTTTAAAGCTGCAGTTAGTTTAACTGATACCTTGCTAGAACAATAAATTTGACCAATTAATGAAATGCCAAAGATATTGCCATACACATCACAAGCTTCTGGTGATCTTGCTCCTTTTCAATTCCTTGAGTTAGGAAAGTTACTGTTACTTCTGACAAAACCCACTGATTTTTGTGACTGTCTTGTGAAAGTTAGCAGCTAGCTATTAATGAAAATAGTGTATTCATACTGATCAGGACAAGATAATCAAGACAGCAAAAGCTACTCAATCTCAAAACACTGTTCACGTTTAGTTATAGCCTTGTCCTAGTTAGCTATACGTGCTAGGCTTTTCCTTTCAAGTGACTTAGAAAACACAAAGACAGCCCATCCTCATGTACTACCACCAAACAAGGGCTTTCTCCTCTTTTCCTGTTTAAAGACAACTTCAACACCACCACAGCACAAAAGCAAGAACAACTGAGAAACAACAGACCTATTGCTGCAGTACAGTTCACTAAGTTAGTGACAAGAGTAATCAATATTTTAAAGAAAAAAGTTTCTCCCAACGAGAATTAAACTTCAAGTTGCAAACAATATTCTCATAACGCTGATCAGCCATGAACACACTAGCAAATCTGACTGAAAAGTTGTAACCACCATCTTAAGATTAACCCAAAAATAGAAAAGACAAAAATTATCAGTAACTTTAAAGAGGTTGGGGGAAAGAAATAAATTTCTACATTCTTGCCAACACTTGATGCTGAGGCCTCCATTCACACAATATTAAAGACACACTGGTTTTCAGCAAGAGTAAGGGAACCAACTTTCAGAACCATTAGAAAATTGCTAACTTATCAAAGGTGTGTTGCTGTGTGAAAAAGCTGATGACAGAACACCAGTTTGGAAATTCATGGGCAGCTATTAATTTTGCTCTAAGAATGTCCTTACTGGTCTTCAGAAACAGGTAATTCAGAATTCACATGGCCTAAGCAGGTATACAGGAAATATTAGCCTCTGGGCTTGCCAATGCAAGTAAAACAAAGCAAGCATGGAGAATTCTAAGCAAATGTAAGTACTTCTTTCATTTAACAGTCTCTATGAGGTACACTACCTGTATACTTCCTTCAGCTCAAGCTAAGGATAGGAGTCAATCTTCAGAGCAGTTCCTTTACACAGACTGTTCAACACAGACTGCTTTAATTTTCCACATAAAAAAGCTGGCAGCTGCCTATATTTCAGCTGTATTAACAAAACATTACAAATATAAATACATTTTCACTTAAGTCTTAGAATGGGAGGAGAACTGATACACTGATACACCTACCTGTCACATTGCTGCATTATAGAGATTTCTTTAATTATTTCTTGAAGGTCAGACTCCACAGGGACCTGCTTAATTGCTACGACTTGTCCAGACTCTTTGTGTATTGCTTTAAACACGCTACCATAAGACCTAGAAGAGGGATTCAAAACATTATTTTTCTTACAAGATAAGTTGCCTCTCATTTCTAGTATGCAGAAGTCATGTGTTCATGCAGCAAAAGTTTGAGGTTTTTCCCAGGCTGCCAATATTTCATTTGTATCAGGATCTCAGCAAAGGTGTGCATTCAAATACCAAATCTTTGACAAGGTGTAGCACACCTCATTTTCATGCAATCACAAATGTCTTTGACTTAATAACTGAGGGACAGTAAAAGCACAAAAGTATATTTGGGGAAGCATGGAAGCTCACTGATTTGCCTTATTATCAAAAGTTGTCTAGAGAAGGCACTCCTTAGGACACTTACAGTCATTCTCTCTGTTACTTAATATTCTAACACATGCTTCATATACTGCCTTCCTCTCCTCCCATCCCCTCATAAATAGCTGCACTTACCCTTCACCAAGTTTCTCCAGAACATCAAAGACCTCCTCAGGCTGCTTAGTTAAACTGTCCTCACTGAGCTTTTTCAGTTTGCTAGAAAAAAGACAAAGCTCACTTATTTTTCGTGGAAGAGAAGCACTGAACTCAGAGGAAATTTTCACACAAGTAAACAGATGTAAGAAAAGGATTACAAGGAAAAATATACCACAATGAAAATAAAATGACTAATTAGAACACAGTAACAGAATTCTATCAACTGCCTTATAACATGGACAACTGTACTGTACTGTTGCATTGTCTATTTTTGTCATTATTGCTTTCTCACTGATGTTTGCTCAACTCAAAGCAGCGTGGGACAAATTTACTGCCTAATCTGTTTCCTTTGCTAAAGCAGAAACAGCTCAAGAACACACCAAAGCACACCTTTAATCAAAAAGCCAGCAAACATACAGTCATTACCGAGAGAAGTATCCCACACCAGTGTCCATGAAAGTATAAGCCAACCCTTCACCCACCTGAAGTTTCCAGTTTTTAAATTATGCCATTTGTAAACCAGTGGATTACATCAAGCTAAACACAGAACCCAAAGCCAGGATGACTCTAGAAGCACTTGGTAGCACCTCAGCTACATATATGTAGCAAAACACTGCATTTCCAACTCTTGGAAGAGTTGTTGGTGCAGTTCTTTTCCCCTCCAGCCTTCTTTCACAGTTTCAAATCGCTCTGCATTGCACTGTCACCTCTGCACCACCAACCCACTCCCACCATTCATCCTTTGTTCCTTACAGCCTATCCCAGCCTTTCCCCAGCCCCCAGATGCCTCACAGATCTAAGAACACCACCTGGCTGCGAGCCTTTGATGAAGCTGACACTGAACATACTGCAGGCAAATACAACCACCCAGATATTGCAGTGAGATTGCATGGCTGCAATGTGTAAATCTCTCATCCTGAAAGTTACAGGGAATTCTTCTACAAGACTGGAGTAACAAGTTAACTCTATATAGTAGCCAAGGGTACTATTAAAGTAGGAGACAAGCTGAGAATAGCTGGTGCTGTAGTGCTAGATATAGCCAATAATTCCATATGCAGGAGGAGAAAACGTTGAGGAGAGAAGCTGTGAAGCACTGCACATCACTGAGACCTCATGGAAAATATGTTATCCTGTGACAGTGTACTGGAAATGAATACAAAACAGGGAAAGGGAAGAGCACACCAACAGAACAGATTGGCAAGCATAACATAAGAACAGCATTCAAAAGCAACTCCTTCTTATAAAAAGATAAGTTTCTGTGATTCACAGAACTAAGAATAACTCAATAAATGAAGTGGTTGGTAAAATAATTCCCAAGTCAAAAGGGACACATAATGCTAATCCTCTAAGTAAAGAGGAAAAATTGAACACGGATGAGTGCACAGTAATGCAGTGTTAAACAAGGGAAGCAAACTGTGTGCGCGTGCTACACAGATTTATATAGCAAGCAACTCTGCGACAGATGGAGCAGCAATATGAGTGCAAAAGTACCCATCATTGCTAAAGCAAGGCGGCTCAACTGCAGTAAAGCCCACACAGTTAGCTACAATGAACAGGCAGGAAGCTGGAAAGTGTGTGACAGAAGGCAGAATAAAAACCTCCCTTATGAAGGTAGAGCAGAACGCAGGAATAGAGAGAAAACAGCTGAAAAATCAGATGGGAGCAGCTAAAGAATGTCTGCAAAAGCAGCCTACAAATCAAACACAGGAACACGGTGCTATGCTTTCTTTTTCCATTCTCTCTGCTTGTTAAGAGACCAGAAAGCAGGAAGATGGAATCAAGTCCTACAGGAAAGCATATAGGCAGTAACAAAACAAATAAATAAAGCAGAAGGGAAGAAGACTTGGCAGGCAAACATTAAAGAAATAATTTATTCGATTCTTTTGTTTCAAATTCTTTCCTCCTTATCCCCAAACTCTGTACAGGTTATCTGTATCCTTAAAGGCAGCGCTAACAGAAGAACGTTTATTAGAATCATTCTTAGCCTGCCACCAATGGAAACACTGTCAGCAGAGCCTCAAAAAATGAGAACCAAGACCATTTGCTGAGTCTGTTACCTGACCAAAGAGCTGCACAACAAAAGACATACTCAAGAGAGCAGAGCAAGGACTGCAGTTTTTTAGTAGTAAGGAAAAAAACAAACACCACAGTGACCTTTTCTAAAAATGCAGAAGAAAACAATTCCACCTGCTCCAAAGAACAGTGCTCTCCTAAATAGGAAAAAGGCAGGAGGGTATACTTTCTGAAGCACATTCTGAAGAGGTCTTAAAATGTCCCACTTCTAGATGTACCTGTTTTATCAATCCTGCTTCATGAAAGAGAACTTTAGGTTATTGGAAAACCTCTTCAACTTTTGGAGACGCTCAAGGTGTGGCTGCCTGGCTTCTGAGCACCCTGCTCTAGCTGTAGGTGTCCCTGCTCACTGCAGGGGAGTTGGACCAGATGGCCTTTTAGGGTCCCTTCCAACCCAAAGGATTCTATGATTCTGTGATATGCTCAGTGACAAAGGGTTTTCAGCAGCACCGCTAATGGCAGTACATTGCTTGTCAAGAGCTACAGAAACAGCTTATAGCTGGCCATGATTGAACAAAACAATATCTCAAAAACAAAGGCACTTTGGAGACTGAAAAAAACAGTGCAGTTTTAAATTTATTTTCACATTATTCAACTCTGACGAACATTCTCAGACCAAAGAGAACTGAACGCCAGCACTGCTAAACACACCAAACCCACTTAGGGGTAGAAAGACATGTTAATCTCAGAATGTTATCAATAAATACACTGCTCAAAGTACTTCACAGTGCTTCACAGAGATACTGCAGGAGTACAGACACTCAGACCGGTACGCAGGCAGTTGTATTAATGCTGCAGCTCTTTGAACCACAGGAAGATCTTAATGGCTCAAACTGCTTAAAAGCTGGGAGTTCTATTGACTTTCTAGAAATAGAAAACATTAAACAGGAGTACTTGATATAGCCTGAAAGGGCTGCCACAGAGAGCGCTTCTGAAAACTTAGGGAGAAGTATGGAGGAAGATGGAAGCTGTTATGTCAAGAGGCATCTGGATGAGGAGCTACGAGATATGGTTTAGTAGCTTGTGGTAGCAATGGTCGTGGGAGGACAGTTGGACTAGATGATCTTGTAGGTCCTTTCCAACTTGCAATTCTATGATTCTATGGCTGTAAAGCACAAGGTAGAATACAAGAAGAAAAGGGCTAGAGATATTAACATTAATTAAGAGTTAATATCGCCAGTCTTACAAAGAAGCAATAAAACTATGGCTGGAGAAACATCTGAGACTTCATTATCAGCCCATGTGCATCCATTCCTGCCATTTGTCCAGCCCAACAGCATCACCTCTGTGCACAAGGCAAACAACATGACACTGAGCCCAACACTTGAGAAGTATCACTGCTTTTTCTGAAGCATTAAGGCGTTCTACACTACAAGTCAATGCTATGCACTCAACAAAATGCCTCCCTGCTACGGTGGGGGCACAGACAAACCAGTCAAGAACTATCAGATTAAAAGCTCCAGTTTCTCTCCCTTCCAAACCCTTTCCTTTTACAAGTGCTAAAGTAGAACATCAGCCACACAGAAACACTGGCCACAGGACACAGGTGTCACAGTATAAACTGTGAGAAAGCCTAAACAAGATGGTAACTATAAACACTGGGGAGAAAATCACCCCAGAAGGGAGTCCACAAGCATCAGGTAGTGATTATGGGAAATTTCAATGGATGTCCAGAAGGAGAACTCTTCCTGCAGGCAGCAGGACAGACTCAATTGCAGGTCTAGGACAAGAGCTGTCAGAAGGGTTTTTTCACTCCAAGCAGGTTTGACTCCCTGCATCAGGCCTGGCTTCTTGAAGAAGAAGAATGCACTCTAAGAATTTTACTTCCATAAATCCAGGTGATGGGAGACAACAACCATACTTACTAGCATGACTAGAATCTCAAACTTCATTGAAGTACTCCAACAAAACAACTAAATGGAAGAAAAAGATTGAGCCAGAGTTACCCATGACTACCATTCCAGCATAAACATCAGAAAAATCTCAACTGGGACCTCAAAGAGTGCGAGATTTTCTCCCATCAACACCTGAAAAAGAACTATGATTTTAGTGTCCTATGGTCACAGCATACAGATTTTACAGAACAAACTGGTGATGTGTTACGAAGGTAGGTATTACAGTAAAAGTAAAAAACTGAACGCTAACAGAAAAATAAAGCAAGACTAAAGATACAGCTCCAACAATTACCATCATGAGTTAGGGAAAACTGGAGAACTACTCCAAGAAAGATGAATATGTGGTTTATTTTGCAGAAGAATCAGCACGATGAAACATTCAAAAAGAATGGCTGGCATCAATTGTATGGATGCACCACAAGGGAAGATAGTAAGAGAAATCACTGCAGTCATCACAAATAGCACTGGCACATGAAAGTCTTGAGATATTAACATTGCTTTACATTGTTCACACAAATAGAAGTAAGTCTTAGAGAGTTTACCTTGCTATACTGTGTACTTACCTTTCATTTTCTATCAATAAAACCCAAGCAAATTTGCATGTCTTACCATTTTCAAGACATCCATATGAACTTAATGTCCCTCCATACGAATGTTAATAACAACATATTTTTCCACACATTTCATACTTTAAAAGCAAGCTTTTCCCTTCCCACAAAACACGGGTGTATTTCAGTGAAATTTAGACTGAGTTAAGACAAATTACTAGAAAGCCTTAATTAACGCTCTCCATGACTGCTACAAGGCCTTTTACTTGGCAGTGGTGGGCAGGAGACCAATAAGATTAAAAGCTTTGTATTTGATAGAATTCAGTCTCTCCTTTCCCAGCAAGCCATTTCCTGTTACATGAGCATGTCAATATAAACAGAAAAATGCAATGATAATAGCAGGGACAAATTATAAACAACTCAAAGGCAGACTCTGCAGTTAAAACAACTGTCAGTCACTTCTTGTAACCGACTATAGGAAGAGCATTCACTTTAGAATTAATAAGGAGCTACAGAACACATCTGATACAGATGTGAGATTCAGATGCAAAGGAACACCTGGCATCAAACACTGTGACAACTACTATCAAATCAGAATGCCCACCCTAAGTTATTCTTTCAAAAGAAGTAACCATTATTCTGAAACCACTCCTCAGAAGTCTTCAGTTACTGCTGCACCACACTGATCAAGCAAGAAAACCTTTCCAGTTTGATACCGTTCCCATTTGAAAGCTACAATGGCCTGATTTGTCGCTGAGGCACCAGCACAGCAACTTCTGAAAACCTGCTTTAGAGATTTGCAAACATCTACCCAGAATTTTCATGCGTTCCTTTACAGGGAAAGTGGGAATAAATGCCTTTCACCTGCAAAAGAACTGAGATTTTAAGAAGCTCTGACACGTGTGCGTGAAATTCTTGCTGCCTTCAGACAAATGTCTCACACAGCACACATCACCCAACAGGTGCTTCTCAGAAGCTGCTCCTGTGGACAGCAGGCACTGACACAAAGCCACCTGGTGATCCCATCTGCTTTTCCAAGAAAATGTGCTGTGTCCATGCCAAGTCACTGCTGCATTCAAAGAAAGCACCGAAAACATGCAGCCCACAAGAAGTCATCTGTACTCCATCTGCACTTGCAGAAGGGGGGCTTAAGCTGAACACTTGGGGACACCAAACAATCAGAAAACTGTAAAAAAAATACATTATAATAATAAAAGATAAAAACACCAGATAAAGAAAATATATGCACACAGGCTGTAAGCAGTATTTTATGGAGAAAAAAATATTCAATTCTTCTAAAAGGAGGTGGGTAGGTGGTGAATGGATGAAGCCAGTACTTCTGCACTTCTCAATGGTGCGTAATGACAGGACACAGAACAATAGCCTGAAGTATGAACATAGGAAGTTCCATACAAAGATACCGGAGAACTTCTTTACAGGGAGTGTAACAGAGCACTGGAACAGTTTGCCCAGAGAGGTTGTGGAGTCTCCTTTTCTGGAGATACTCAGAACCTGCCTGGACATCTACCTGTGCGATCTGCTGTAGGGAACTGCTTTTGCAGGTGCTTGGACTCGATGATGTCTTGAAGTCCCTTCTAACCCCTGCAATTATGTGATTTTCCCTTCTCTTCAAGAAACAAACCCACTAAGTTCCCATCATATTTAATCTTCCAAAAGGAAAACTTCAAAAAATATGATAAGAACATGCAGGAGTTAAAAAGCTCCCATATCGGCTTTCTAGTTCTTCCTGATTCAAACAGTTCACCAACAGCAATTAGTTTAGCCACAAGCTTACAGCTAGGTAATAAAGCTAGAGCAAAACTAGTTCTTCAAAACAAAACCAAATAAAGAAATGCACACAATGCTGCAGGTTGTGCTAACTTCAAGTTTTATTTTCGCTCCTTTGAAATAACCAGATCCCAAGCTTTGCACTGGTGCCTGTAATATTGATTACTTCTCAGGTATTCCCATTTCTTCTCCTAAATCCTTACTGGTGCTTCTCCTATTCCCTGCATTCAATGTGCAGAGCACTGTCAATCTGAAATCACACTGCAGGCCTGTCCTTCCTCCGCAGCATATCCTGAAGTGTCAGACAAACTTTAAAACGTCTGCTGAAGCCTTGTCTTCTAAGTCTTCTAAGTAAGAAAAAAAAATAATGCAGAAAACATGCTTGTGGGAAACATTGTCAACAATGTTAGCACCAGTTGTAGGAATGAATTCAGTCAACAAAATCCCACCAAGCTGCTTCTACATGAAAAACTGCCTGCAAGTTCCTTTATTGTGCATCACAGAAATGCACAGGGGCCAAGATATCCAGCTCAGGGCAAGGAGCTTCATCACAAAACAATGTCAAACATCACAAAACAATGTCAAACATCACAAAGCTTATCATCAGACCAAAGTAATGCCTAGAGTGATTCTTCTCACTTGTTCAATTAGGAGAAAGACAAAACTGACCTTCATGTTGAGTGCAATGTAAATTCAATGGAAACCAGACACCTTTTTGTTTAGGATCATAAAATAGCCTGGGTTGACCTCAAAGATCAACCAGTTTCAACTCCCCTGCCACAAGCAGGGTCACCAACCACTAGACCAGGCTGCCCAGAGCCACATCCAGCCTGGAATCTGAGAATCTGGGATCTGAGACTATGATGAAGGCACTCAGCAGAACAACTGCTAGTTGACTCTTCACTAAGGATTTCAGCAGCAGACATGTTTCTTGACATATCATGGGAGAAAGAAGGACACAGCTCCACAACAGCACTCTTCTGGAGCCCTGGAAAATCACTGTAAGAAATTTCAAAGGCTCTGAACGTAAACAACTGTGTTTACACAAGAATAAAAAAAGTTCATTATCTCCTGGCAGAAGAAAAAATAGTAACTACATAATATAAGCTAACAGGAAGTGAAACAGTTGGAGCTAACACAGCCAGTACGTATGTAAACTATGTACAGCCTGCACGCTCACAGCTCTGCTCTGCACAGCACATAACTGCACCACAAGAAGGCTGCTCCACCTAAACATACCCACACTGTTAGATATTCCATGCATTCAGATGACAGCAGCACATTTACAGCGAAAGCTGACGGTTTCACGTCCTACTTCACACACAAAAGGCAAATATTAAAAATCAAAACAATAAAACGAAGGTTAAAACGAAGATTGGCGTACGTACTTCAGGAAAGCCACTCCGAGCCCACCTCAGCACCCCCGGAGGCGCGGGGGGCCGGCAGAGAACGGGGCGCTCAGCCCGCCCGCACGCAGCCCGACCCCCACCGGCCCTGCCAGGCCTCGCCCCCCCACGCTCGCTTCCGGGAGGGGAAGGGGCCGCGGAAAGGTTCCGTGGGATCGTTACCTCTTGGGCGCTGCCTGCTCCATGCCGCCGCCGTCCCCCGGCCGCCGTCTGGGTAGCGCAGGGCCGGCGCCCGCCCAACTCCTCGCAACTTTTCCGGCGCGCGCAGCTGGCCCTTTAAGCGCAGCTCGCGCCCTCCCTCGGCCGCGGACGTCGCCGGCCTCTCAGGCAACCACCGCTACCGCCGCCTACCCTGGGGCCGCCTCCTCGCGGCTCTCATTGGATACGAGCGGAGCCGTCTCGAGCGCTGGTTGGCCAGCGGAGGCGTCGCTCGGGACGGCCCCGCCCACGCGTCGCGGAGCAGACGGCGGCGCGCCGGCGGGAGGGAGGGAAGGAGGAAAAAGATGGAGGCGGCCGTGCGAGCGGCGGAGGCGCTGAGCTTCCGGTGTGCCCTGCGCCGCCGCGTCCCCCCAAGGCATGCCGGGAGATGTAGTCCCGCCGAGCAACCCGCGCTTCCCATCCCGCCGGGTAGGGCGCCGAGGTGCCGCCGGGCGAAGGACGGCCGTCCGTCTACCACACGCCCGCGTCACGCCCTGTCTCGAGGAGCCGGGCCTGCGGGCACAGGCAGCCCTGCGGCGGAGCATGTCGGCGGCTCTTTTCCCCAGGCCCTTCGCCTCGCCCTCGGGCCCGCGCATCTCGTCCTCAAAGTAGCGGGGAGCGAGCCGTGGTCAGCGCGCCGAGCTCTGCTTGGAAAGGCAGAGTAGTTCCTCCGCACGGCCCGCGGGCGGTCAGTCACGGCTGCGGGCCGGCAGCGCTCCCCTCAGCTGGCCAGGCGAGGCCGTGTAGCTCCGAGGTGAAAGCGCAGACAGTTGGCAGGAGGCTGTTTGCAGTGCCAAAGCACACAAGTTACCCTGCGAAGCCAGAGGAAGCCATCACGTAATTACTCAAGTAGCAGCTTTTAGGCTGCTGAGTACTGTGTGACAGTTATCTGCCATTTCTCCACGTTACAACTTCCCATTTTGTGCTGTTTGCATAGAAATGAACATTGCTGACTGACAGCATCCAGGCAGTCAACCAACTCAACACAAGAACAGTTAAATGCTACAGCCAGCATCCCTATTCCTTCCTGAAAGCAGGTCTATTTGCCTAACTGATGGAAGTTAGAGGTAGTAAAACACTTGGGTAAGATCCATAAAAGTCCAGAAATGCCCATGTTCCACTTTAAGCTGCATTTAGATTCACAACAGCACTCAAAACATACAAAAAAATCCACACTCCACACCTAATTTAATTTCCCTGATGGGCATTAGCAAGGAAATTCTGAATGAATGAAGTCCCACTCTTGTGGATGTTGTCTACTTTGCCTGAGTCAATTCCAGACAAGTTGACTCACTGTGGTCAGACTAAATGCACAATGGCAATATTGAATGAACCTGTTTAACAAATCACACATGAGCATATGACCTTTTGGTTTTCTTTCTTCTTCTGAATCATGGAAAAATGGAGTAGGACATCTTCCTTTGCACAACAGATCAATGCAGAGCTCTTCAAGTACCATCCCTTAAGCCAGAGTGGTTCACCAGCAGTACTGCCAGATTTCTCCATACCACAGAAAACTGTAGGTAGGAGGTGCAATAAATAAATAAATAAATAAATACCACATCCAAATAAAAACCACATCCCGAGAAGGAGCCAGCAGCCACTTCAGTCACCGTGCCTTAGATAGAGGTGGAGGGGAACCCTGCAATGCAAACCTGCCTGTTCAAGGAATGGGGAGGAGAGGCAGGTAGGAGATGCCATATGGCTATTTTCCAACTTCATTTTGGCTGACACACTGACCAGTTATTATTATTTACACTTCACTGATTTCACTGAGCAAAGGGCAGCCTGAAATCCCTACTTGGCTGTGACACTTCTGGAGGGCAAAGGCTGTCCATCCACATCTTTTAACGCAGCTCTTGAAGACAGCATTTTGTCCAGAGGAGGCAGTATTTATTTCAGAGGAGGCAGGTGCTTGGTTTTTTTGCTTCTTTTTTCCCCCCAGCTCCTCATTTCAAGCCACAGCTCAGATAAGCTGTGCATTCCAGCAAGGAAAAGCAGTCTTAAAAAAAACTACACGGGTACCACATTATGTCTCTAACACCAAGAAAAACAAATAGCCAAAAAGTGTTCCATCTCTGCATTCACACATTTAACTTTCTTTGGAAAGAAGTTAGGCTAAACAGCCTAATCTGCCACTCCTTCCTCCCCCATTAAAACAGTTGGAGAGATCAAGGCTAAAGAAATCTAGACCTAGAATTTAGATGTTAGCAGTCCTCAGTTAGAGGACAAACCCCTCTCCCCCAAAATATCATTAGGTAATTGAGGAAGAGGGGTACTGGAGAATCCTCCACTTCTACCAATGAAGAATGAGGAGTCTAAAATAACCCAAGATGTCTGAAACAGGAAAAGTTAGGTAACCCGGCATTATATCCTAGTGGGATGAGCAATGCCAAAAAATACAGACTAATTCCATGCCTTTTTCACTCACAGAAGTTTCAGTTGTGCTTTACTCAAACGCCAGAATGCTTTCTAAGTACATTTATGCTGAAAATAAAAGGTCAATAGGAAGATAGTGTATATGCCATAGAGTTCTTCAGGATCACTTTCTTAATCTCTTCTCCTTTCAAGTGGTATTTTTATGCCTATAAGACCAGGATAAATAACATCATCGCACCTCTTTGCTGCAAGATGAATTTGGGAACCTTGCAGTGAAACATGACACTGACTTGGTATTCATTACAACATTATACCTAGCCACCAGCAAAGAAGGAATTTTGAAAGGGAAAACAGACTCCCTCTGTTCCTACTGCCTAATTCAGGCTTTCCAGTAAAGGGAAGTCTAGATGTTCTGGAGGCATGAATATATGATGAGGTTGCTGGTGTCTAGACAACATGGAGATGAGGAAGTTACAGGCAATCTACGGGAGTATTCCCATGATTTCTTCCAAGAGTGGAACCACATGACACTACTAAGAGAGTAGGTGAGCAAGGAAATACTTAACGTAGCCCAGTCTTAAAAATACAGGAGAAAACTGAGGTTTTTCTGAAGTATTTCATCCACTTCCACAATCTGCCAGCTTGCATTCTCCATGGAACTGACATCAACATCAATTCTGTAGACCAAAGGATGAATGGAGCCCATACTTAGTTTTTGAGTACTAAAACTATTTTACATTAAAATGTAATTTTGTAAACAAATAAAATAATTTATATTATAATTACTTAAACTGCAATAGAATCAGAAATCCTGATGGCATTGACAAGAATAAAGTCTGTGTAACAATCACAAACTAAGACTGTGTCCAAGCCCCTAAGTATATGACCCAGCAAGCTGCAAGATGTCAGTCCTGTCTCAGTTGTGCAAAATTCACAGTGTGTCAGAGAAGGACAAAATGTTACCTGAAAAGCTCATGTCTGAGTCTCTGTCAGGTATTACTAATAGTAACATTCAAATTCCAAATATATACTTCAAAGTCTTATTCATAAATATAATGCAAATAAATTCTGTATGTTATAGTAGCGACCTTATCTAGTTCCTTTGATTGCAAATAAAAGAAACATTTATTTCAGAAGGTATTAGATCAGGCTCATTTAAACAGTATGTATTTTAGCTAATAAAAGGTACCGCTAGGAAAAAAAATAATAAAAACACCACAGGATTAATAGTGCACGTTTTTCTGCTGATTTGTGTCGTAAACACTTCACACTCTTTGGGCAACATACCACTAGCCCTTCCTGGCATCCACAGTGCCATTCGCAGCCCAGCTTCCTTCTCCACATGCTTTCTGCCCTTTCACCACAGGAACCCCCCAGTGCTCCCATCTGTCATTCTGCAATGATTGTAGTCACCTTAGCACACTGAAAATCATGGCACCTGGAGTGCCCTAGTAGGCACTGATGCATGCTCCAGCTTAAAGCTCTTTCCAAACCCTCCACATCTCCAGCAGCCCACTGTGGCTTTACCACACAATTATGAGGCTGGATCACAGCTTCGTTTTCAGCTGGAAGCCAAAGGCTGGCAGGCTGCACCACAGCTCAGTGACAATTCCTACAGCCAAGCACAATATTTCCCCTGCTGAGGGGCAAACAGCTCTGCAAATGGGGCATTTCCTCCTTTGTCCATCACCTGTGGGTTTGATACAGATGGGAACTCAATTCACTACAGACCTCCAGCTTTCCATTCAGTGTGATTAATATGATTCCTAAGTCACAAATTACTGCAATAATAAATATTATTATAATATTATATAATTATATATTATATAATAAAGGAAAAAAGTAAAGGAATAATAAAGGGAAAGTTTGGCAGGCAAGCACATAGACATAGAACAAATGCAGGAGCCTTGTTTCCTTAGGAAACAAGTTCATAAATTCAGTAGACAAACAGTCAACAACAACATGTTTGCATGTCTCTCAGGGTGATTGCCTGATAGTAATCTGGTATGCTGAAAGTTAAGGAAAAGGCCTTGAATGAAATACCAGCTTGTTTATACAGATGATAAGAAAAACTGACTTCTGCCTGTTTGTTTCTTTTCCCCCCACCTATCATGCATAATGAGAGGTAACCTTGAAGGCTTATCTAAGAATTTGTCCTATACTTCCCTAACCCTGTCAGTCATAAAATAGTTAAAAATAAAATATAAAAGAACAGCACATTCTCAAGTTTGGACTAAATTTTTTTTTTTCTTTGAAACAAGTTTTTTTTGAAGGTTAAGAGTAAAAAACTGTATTTGTTCTCTTTTCCTGAACTCCTCACTACTTAATAGCCAATTAATACTGCATAAAAGGAAGTTGACTTTTTTGCTGGTCCAGCAAAGGAAAGGTAGAAGATAAACAGCCAGGACATAGAGGTACAGATTACAGCAACCAAATCCACTCTGCCAAAACCAGTGTGATTCACAAAGTTCCTAAGATCTGTAATAATGAAATATTAGTTGTACTGCTGCAGTTCTTCCCACTACCTATAATGTATCATACTAGTATCCGAAATATCCTTACTAGACCTGCAGACACTTGTTGATTAGGCTAGTATTTTCCTGTTGACTGACTATTCAGCTCACAGTCTTAGTAACAGGCTATGTATAGACTTACATTTGCTATTTTTCTTAATATAGTACACTATGTTAAA